AAGGCGTGTAGCCGTGCGGCTATACTCTGTAAATAGATTTTTTTAAGCATAGCCACACGGCTATACCCAATAGCTTAATCAGAATTTCTCTTTTTAAATTACTTTAAATAGTAGGTATGTTCTAGTTATTATTTACTTAGTGAATAATTAGTATAATTAGTATTCAAATATTTTAATATATTTTATTTTTGTTCAATAATATGTGTGTATTTTACGTATAATACGTGAATTTTGTGTGTAATATTAAAAATTTTGTAAAAAACCAGTGTATTAAACGTGAAAAATATGTACATATATGTACAATAGGAGTATTATACATAAAAATGCTAAATTCTTTATATGAGTAATAACTCTAGAAAAATAAAAACTCAAAAGGGGACAATAGAGACTCGGGTAATGGCCTCATAGTAATAGATAATGCTCTAAACTACTCTTATTGATAAACAAAAATCAGGGGAAAACAATTTTAAAAGTCTCTATGGCTAAAGTATAGCCGCGCGGCTATACTATATATATATATATATATAAAAGGGGAACCCGCATAGCGCACAGTGCGTTTTTCGTGACAAAAGTATACCCGTGCAACTATACTCTGTAAATAGATTTTGTTTTAAAAGCCGCTCGGCTATATCCATTTAATAGCATAATCTGAATTTCTATTTTTTAATTACTTTAAATAGTAGTTATGTTTTAATTATTAATAGCCAATCCGCACGCGCTTCCGACCCTAAGAGAGGTTTTTTTTAAAAAAAAAAATTTTAATTTATTTTAGAATTAAAAAAGATAATGGGTAGTTGTGTTCCATAAAAATATGATCCATTATCTAATTTTTCTTTTAATTTTTATTTTTTAATATAAAATGTGTGAATTTACCATATTATCCTCATTTAATTAATAATTTCAATTATTAATGTTTGCATTAAACAATAGCATTTTCTGGTATTTTGAATGTTTCATCATTCTCTGTCTTTTGCTTTATAATTGTTATTTACTTAATGAATAATTAGTATTTAAATATATTTTATTTTTATTCAATAATATGTGAGTATTTTGTGTATAATACATGAATTTTGTGTGTAATATTGAAATTTTTTTTAAAAAAACAAGTGTATTAAACATGAAAAATATGTACATACGTGTACAATACTAGTATTAAATGTGAAAATGCTAAATTCTTTATAAGGATAATAACTCTGAAAAAGTAAAAACTCAAAAAGGGACAATAAATACTTGGGTAATTGCCTAATAATAATGAATAATGTTCTAAACTACTCTTATCGATAAACCAAAATCAGGGACTTAGGTATGGTAGTTGACTTTGATGGTGCAATACATTGCTAGAACAAATAAGATCAAACACTAACTATGGATCAGATGATCTTAAAATAGGCCTTGTAGTAACATATCATAACCTTTTTGTTACAGTATAAATTTTATCTTGATTCTTAATGACTACACTTTTTATATATAAAGTGATACTAGAGGTGCAAGGATTTAAACAAAGGATCTCAGATGTAGAGATAATTGCTCTTAACAATTTGAACTGCAATCCCATTGCATTTTTCTTAATCCTTGGTAAAATGTATTAAAGCATAGCCCCTAAACAAACATTACTTTACAAATTAGTTATTATTATTGGTCACTTTGTTCAAATAAAAAATATAAAAGTAAGGATGATGACATGGGCCGGGCCTTGTAATTACTGGGCTTTCTATTGTATTGAACTCTCCGCCCGGCCCTTGTACTTGCTACCCACGCCACTCTCTCTCCTAAAAACTAAAACCATTCATCTGAGTGAGAGCAGCGAAGCCATGTCAACCCTGAAGGAGATTCTTACCCGACGACCCGTGCTGACGACGATCCGGGTCACAGCCCCGGCGGGAGCGGCCACACCCCAACCGCTGAGCAAGGGTTTGGGTCAATACAGGATGAACATGATGGCCTTCTGCAAGGACTTCAACGCCCAGACCCAAAAGTTCAAACCCGGCATACCCATGGCGGTGACCCTGACGGTCTTCAAGGACAACACCTACGAGTTCACGGTAAAGTCACCGTCTGTCAGCTGGTACCTGAAAAATGCCACCGGCGTCGACTCCGGCAGCAGCCGACCCAAACACGTGGTCGCTTCTGAGCTGTCTGTGAGGCACTTGTATGAGATCGCCGAAGTGAAGCAATCTGACCCGTATTGCCAGTACATGCCCTTGGAGTCCATTTGTAAGTCCATTATTGGTACGGCTAATTCTATGGGGATTAAGATTGTTAAGGACTTGGATTGATTTGGGGGAAAAGGTCACATTTTGAAACCATCATCGTTGTTTTGAGAAGAAGATTGGATTTTTGTTTGGTTTGAGAGGTTTTGCTTGTGACTTGTTAGTTTTATAGCGATTTTGTCAGTGTTGTTCATGAGCTTAGTGTAATTGGGTAGCTTTCTTGTTTACGAATTTTGCAGTAGCTTTTCAATTTTAATGAGAAATGAGGATGGCTTGCACTTCATCAAACTAGCCTTGTTCTGTTCATGAATTCTCTTATTATTTGGTATTTTCTTACAAGACACAGCTGAAGTTGATTGCTTGAAAAGTTCCATACAAAATTTACCTTGCAAATGTAAATGCACTTGGATCCTATGCAGAATTGAGTTTTTTTTCTCTCTGTTTCTTTATGTCACTCTGAATATAGTTGTGTCCTGATTGAATACGTTTATTAATTGACCAAGTTGGAAAAGTAGTTTCCCAGAATGAGCTCAGGAGTAGCTCTCTGACTGATACTTTGAGTTGGTGATGTGGGATTAGGCTCTTGAGCTCTTTACTCATATGGAAACAGATTTTATTACTAGTTGGAGGGTTTTACTGATGAGGAAAATTGATTAGATGAAGCATTTGAGCTTTTAATAAGAATAAGAACTTGGAGGGTTTTTACTTGTTGGGCTTGCCACTGAGGATAGAAGAAGGTTATAACCAGAGAGTTGGGGAAGGGGAATTCCAGGTCTCCTTGTCCATGATCGTTTCATCCGTGGATTAAATTTTGCCATGAACAAGAAGGGCATGTTCATGACATCTTCGAGCTGATGAATTAGACGATCAGTCATGGTTACCTTTCTGTTGCATCAACATTTGATGTTCATGTTCTGATCATGGGTTTTTTGTGCAACCAAAAGTTGGTAGTGGATTGAACCACCATAGTTTAAAGAGGTTTATGGATCTCATCTGTCATCACCTCAATACCTAATACAGGCTGTTATAATTCTCCCCCGGATTCGCAGGAAGCTTCCGGCGCCATTTGTTTTTGCAAATGGTACAAAATGGAATATTTGCACATTATTTAGGAGGAAATCGTTGCTTTTGCGTCTGTGTTAAGGAACAGAATGGTTAAGAGTCCTGTAGAACAAGAATATGCCCCTTGCAAATAACCCGTGTTCTGTGTGTTGTTTAATACCTGAACTGAATTAGATTCTGGCTGCCAAGGGAGATGGCTCTTTGTTGACAATAATCCTTTGAAAAGTTGCAACCGTTTGCCTTGTGATGATGGCTCATCTCTCATGTTGTTTTGGCTTTATTAGCAAGAGTTAGGTCCTTCCTTCAAAGAAAGGCCATTTGTTTTGGCTTCATCAGAAAATTAAAATGAATTACGTCAATTTATCAGAAAGGTCCTAGAAATAAAAATGAATACAATATTGAATATGTGGAGGTGGGTAGAAGAATTCGTATGTTGTGGTGTGGAGCTGGTGCGCCCTGTTGATTGTTATGCGAGGACCCGCGTGACCGACTTTACCACCTGAAGAGTAATTATGAGTATATCGACACCAGCAGCCAAACATTCAAAGACACCTGTAATATTATTTCAATTTAGATTGTACTTCCTCTCAAAATAATATTGATAATTACATCTGATGGTAACAGTTCAATTAAAATGAGTTTTTATTAAAAATAATCAAAATTTACCCCCAACTTTTATAAACGTTAATTTTTATAAAAACTTTTAAAAATAGCCGAAACTTTCAAAGAAGGGTTTGAATTTTGACACATACAATGAACTACTTCAAATCCGAGAATTAAGAGAAAAACCATATCCATATGTTTACTATATCCTCCAAAAATATTGACAATTTTCTTGATGAAAGAAGAAAAATTGGATTTGATGGAACTTGAATTTTGAGGAAACAACTTTTTTTTAGGAGTTATTTTAATGCTGGTCCTGGATAAAATGCCTGTTCTCATTTGGCTTCTTGGACCCTGCCAAAATAACTTGCACAAATAGACTACCAGCCACCACCACCAGCCCCATCCCCAAACACATCTTTCCCAATTCCCATCATACCACAAAAAATCTCTCGTTCAACTCAAAATCTCTCGATCAAGTCAAAATCTCATCCATTCTCTCAATTCAATTCACTTCTTTAGAATCAAAAGCTCAAATCCCAGCAACCCAATTTCTCTTTCTTCATTAAAATTAGGGACTTGAGATTCGCCACCCAAAGGCACAAAGCTACCATGGTGGTGTTTGACAAAGAAGCGAGCTCATCCTCACAAACACTCCCGCCTTTTCCTAGAGAAGACACACCACTTCTAGCCAGACCTCGCAAGCTCTCATCCCAAGGCAAGACCTTTGCCAACGTCTTCATAGCCATAGTGGGTTCAGGCGTGCTGGGTCTTCCGTACACTTTCAAGAAAACCGGATGGGTCTTCGGCTCTCTCATGCTCTTCTCTGTGGCTTTCTTCACCTACTACTGTATGATGCTCTTAATTCACACTCGCCGCAAGCTCGATTCTGTCCATGGCCTCTCAAAGATCGCATCTTTTGGTGACCTGGGCTTCGCTGTGTGTGGCCCAATTGGACGACTCTCAGTTGACATCATGATCGTGCTTGCTCAGGCTGGTTTCTGTGTGAGCTATCTAATTTTTATATCAAACACTTTGGCTTTTGTTATCAACTACTCTGGACCAGATCGAATTCTGGGCCTTGCCCCAAAATCCTTGTACCTTTGGGCTTGTTTTCCATTTCAGCTGGGATTGAATTCGATTCCTACGCTGACCCATTTGGCCCCTTTGAGCATTTTCGCCGATGTTGTTGATCTTGGAGCTATGGGGGTTGTGATGGTGGAGGATGTTATGATTTTTCTGCAAAATAGGCCAGCTCTGCAGGCTTTTGGAGGCTTCTCTGTTTTCTTCTATGGTCTTGGTGTGGCTGTTTATGCCTTTGAAGGAATTGGAATGATATTACCATTGGAATCAGAGGCTAAAGACAAAGACAAGTTTGGTAAAGTCTTGGCCTTGTGTATGGCTTTCATTGCTTTGTTGTATGGATCATTTGGAGTTCTGGGTTACTTTGCTTTTGGTGAAGAGACCAAAGACATAATCACCACCAATTTTGGGCAAGGCTTGGTGAGCACTCTGGTGCAGATGGGTCTCTGCATTAACCTCTTCTTCACATTACCATTGATGATGAACCCTGTTTTCGAAGTGGTGGAGAGAAGGTTCAATGATTCTAGGTACTGCCTGTGGCTGAGGTGGGTGATGGTGTTTGTGGTCAGCTTGGTGGCTCTTTTGGTGCCTAATTTTGCAGACTTTTTGTCTCTGGTTGGGAGCAGTGTGTGTGTTGCTCTGGGCTTTGTGTTGCCTGCTTTGTTTCATTTGATGGTGTTCAAGGAAGAACTGAGTTGGCATGGGATGCTTTTGGATGGGACTTTTGTGGTTCTTGGTGTGGTTATTGGAGTCTCTGGAACTTGGTCTTCAATAGCAGCGATTCTTGCACCCACAGCCTGATTTGATTAGGCAGTAGATCAAGTAAATTTTGATTGCTCTCTCTCACTGTATTCTAGTGCTACGTTTGTTAATTATTTCACCAATTTTAAGGCCTAATGTGTAGCACTTTTGCAGTTGATTTGGTGGTTGAGTTCTGATTTTTCAGTCTTGCAACTTCGATGGTCAAGCTTTTCAAGTTCAATTTGAAAATCAATCAAAATTGTGTTAAGAGATTGGGTGATATCAAAGAAGGGTCTAGAAAAATGTGGAACTTCTCACTTACCCTTGTCCATTTTCGTGTAGAAATTGAATAATTTGGAAGTACTCAACTTTGGCACCTAAGGGCTACAAGCTTACAACTTTATGAACATTTCTGGTCTCACTAAGGTTGTACGGACATCTGTGTCATGTTGGAATGAGAAAGATGTAGTGTAACCCATGGCATATGCATAAAATAAGCGATGCAAAAGCATGTGATTGTGCCTATTTTAATCTTCTTCAATCAAGAATCGTTTATGTACCAATCGAATTTAATTCACAATTGCTTAAGTAACGGTTTGGATCTTATTATACTTCATTATTTTCAGTTGTTTTTTACTTTAGTGTAAATTATATTTGATATGATCATTATTGTGTATTATTTCCATTATTTATTTTTCAAACAAGCTGGTCCCTACTTTACAACAATGAATTGGATTTCAGCAAAACCAAAACAAGCTCACTCCTTTAATGCCAATGTACACTTGGAACAAATCAAGACACGAAAAATAAGTTCCTATCTCGTGTAAAACTCAAGACATGAAAGTTTCTTTCTAATACACAAGTATGTCGGTACAAGAATTCTATAGTGAGGGTTAATGAGGTCTTATCTCTTAATCATTGGATTAAATTAGTTAGTCTGATCTAACAATTAAGAGATAATATCTCATTTAAGGACCATATGTAAAACCCTCACTATAGAATGACTTTGTATCAATAATGACCTAATGGACGGTGTCAATATGACATTATATATTTTACACCTCTAATACCCCAAAAGAATTTTTGTGCTTCTATTATTTCTTGTGTTAGGTTAGGCCCAAGAACCTTACAAGGACGTGCAACGCCCAAGTTACTCATGTTTTTGTTAAAATTTATGCAAAAGTTAGGAGGGGGGAGAGAGAGGATGGGTTTTCTCAGGCGCATACTGTCAATGTGAGAATACGTTCGCGGTTTAGTTAAACAAAACCCAAGAATTAAAGAATGAAGGGCAGGTGGCTAACACCCATCAACCATCAACCATCACCCTCTCCCAACTCCAAGAAATCGATCACTTCACAACTCCACCTAATGAGTACAACCCTTTAATCCCCAAAACCATGGCCACCTCATCTTCTAGTGATTTCCAAAAACAAAACCCAAAATCCCCATTTTGCAAGTTGTCACAAAACAAAGGGCAAAATGAGAAAGAAAGGAAAAGAAAAAAAAAAACAACCATTTTCCTCGGAAAGACCCACCACTTGCTGCACCGGGAAAAAGGCCAGCAATAGCAAGCAACTAGGTAAAGCAAAAGAGAAAAAAGTGGAGAGACGAGAGACATGAGAAGAGGCTCTGTGGTGAAGGACACAAACTCCCAATTTAATCTGAGACCGAGAGAAAGAGAGAGAGAAAGGAGAGAGAAGAGTTAGTGAGTCTCCTTTCTCATTGCAATAGAGTCATCAATTTCAAATCAAATCCAATCCATTTATCAATCCAATCTGCATAAAACAGGAAACTTCCCCCTTCCCCCCTCACACACACACACAATAACATCGGCATCCATCCATCCATCCATTTTTAGCCTTTTACCCAACAATTGTTTCTTTTTCTAAATCAAACTTCAAATCATCATTCATCAACAAAAACAGAGAAAAAGGAAGGACCTTTTTCATTGGTGAGATTCATATTCAACAAACCCAATCCAATAGATCAGAGAATCAAAACCCAGTTGGATCAACGACATGTCGTGTTCATCTTCATCAGGGTCAGAGGATGACGATGAGGGCATCGACTCCTACAGGAAAGGAGGCTACCATGCCGTCAGGGTTGGCGATCAGTTCGCAGGCGGCCGCTACGTGGCTCAGAGGAAGCTGGGTTGGGGTCAGTTCTCCACCGTCTGGCTCGCATACGACACCACCACCTCTGTAAGCCGCGCCCTTTTTTAATTTTCTTTGTGTCATTATTGTTTATCTGTTTTTACCTACTTATTGGTATGAAATATTTACTGGGTTTTATTTAAATCTATCGATTTATTGGTTTTAATTCATGATTGCCCTTTTTTTAATTGACTTTAGCATTTTTTGTGTGTGTGGATTCTGATACTTTTACGAACAAGATCTTCTTTATTTATTTGAATTAGCTTGTGTTCATGCATTTTTAATTGATGTATTATGTACGTTTCAAGCATTTTGGCTCTAATGTGTTTGATTGTTTTCATGTGATGTTGGGTCGCCTTTGGCTAACACATAATCTGAAGAAGTGATTTTTATATCAACAAGACATTTGTGAATTGTGATGTTTCTTTTGATTTTGATGCTATACTTGGATTTTTGGCTCTTTCTTTTCTTCGTGCATCCATGAAGTAATTGCTTGTTTAGGAAGAGTAATATGTTTGCTTCAGTTATCTAACTTTTGCATCATCTTATTTCCCTTTTATACTTCTTAGACGTACGTGGCTCTTAAGATTCAGAAAAGCGCAGCACAGTTTGCTCAAGCTGCTCTTCATGAGATTGAAGTTCTTTCTAATATTGCGGATGGTGACCCCACAAACTCCAAGTGTGTTGTGCGACTGATAGACCATTTTAAGCACGCAGGCCCAAATGGGCAGCATCAGTGTATGGTCCTTGAGTTTCTTGGTGATAGCTTACTTCGGCTGATCAAGTATAACCGTTACAAAGGCCTTAAATTGAATCAAGTTAGGGAGATCTGCAAATGCATATTGATAGGTCTGGATTATTTGCATAGAGAACTTGGTATCATTCACACTGACCTAAAACCTGAAAACATTCTTCTATTTACCACCATTGATCCTGCCAAAGATCCAGTCAGGTCTAGCCTCACCCCAATTCTTGAAAGGCCTGAAGGGAACCTGAACGGTGGAGCCACCATGAATCTTATTGAGAAAAAGTTGAAAAGGAGGGCAAGGCGGGCAGTTGCTAAGATTTCCATGAGAAGAGAATCTATGGGAGGTGTTGAAGCTCCGAAGTCTGAAAGAAACATGGATGGGATTGATGTAAGGTGCAAGGTTGTTGATTTTGGAAATGCCTGTTGGGCTAACAAGCAACTCACAGAAGAGATTCAAACAAGGCAGTATAGAGCTCCTGAAGTTGTACTGCGATCTGGTTATTCCTACTCAGTTGATATGTGGTCATTTGCTTGCACCGCCTTCGAGCTTGCAACTGGTGACATGTTGTTTGCTCCAAAGATGGGACAAGGCTTTAGTGAGGATGAGGTAAAGACACCTTTACACTATTTTGATTAAATTTCTTTACAATTGGACTAATGTTATTATAGCATGCCCACTTTATTTATAGAAAATAAAGTTATATATAATCTGTTTTTTTTTAAAGTTGGACAATGGGAACCCGGAACCCCAACGTTTCTCCTTTTGATACAATATTTGGGCTGGACTTTCTCTTCTCTATGAACAATTTGACAATTTTAATAAGGTTTCTGTATGTGATTTGGCCATTTTATGTGGAGAATTTTCTATCCCGCACAGCCTTCTTTTTACTGCTTTGCAATTGAAATATCCATTGGATTGATTTTAGGATCACCTTGCGTTGATGATGGAACTCCTTGGAAAGATGCCTCGAAAGGTGAGATATTAATCCTCCATTGCACTCGGATAGTTCTCCTATAACTTTGTCTGATTCCATTTCTCTCTTATGCTTGGGTTTTCAGGTAGCAATTGCAGGAGCTCGTTCCAAGGATTTCTTCGACAGACACGGGGATCTAAAAAGAATTCGAAGGCTGAAATTTTGGCCACTTGATAAAATACTGATTGATAGATACAAATTTTCTGAGACTGATGCTCGGGAATTTGCAGAATTCCTTTGTCCCATTTTCGATTTTTCACCAGAGAAGCGGCCAACTGCTCAGCAGTGCCTGCAACACCCATGGCTCAATCGCAGTACTTCGAGCCAGCCTGAGATGAAAAATAAATCTAAAATGGAGAAGGTGAATGTAGGGATGAGCAACCTTCAGATTAAGGTTGGCAAGTGAAGAAAGGAATGAAGGATGATGCTGTCACCTACCACACTATGTTAACGCTCCCAAACACTCCTCCACACCACATTGTGACAATTGATTGTGAATTAATTTTGTTTGTTACTCATCTAATAAGATTCTTATTATTTTTTTATTAACTATAACTATAAGAGATGTAAATTAGTAATGATTTTTGTGAGAAAAATTACAGTCAGAATTCAGATAGAGGAATTCGACTGTCAAAATGGATATGCCCTGGTGGCTTGTAAACTAGCTAAAGCCAGAACAACAATACACATCTATGTTTCCCACATTTTTATACTCATGATGATTGGTGACCATCTTCAGTATGAATTCCTACTTAAAGAAAATGGAATTGTGATTTATAAATAAACTCGTCAATCTAACGGCTATAATTGCACTCGTAGACAAATTTGTACCCTAAAAAATCCACCATAGCGGCTCTTTTTTATATTACTGACACTTTCATATCTCTGACAGACTGACATAACATTCCACCTGTCTGGGCTGCAGCCTGCATGACTGAAGTGAAGGAACAGTCCTGCATAACTGAAGTGGTCCCAATATTAATACAATAAATCAATTGAGAAAATAAAATTATTATTCACGTGTATGATTTTTCAGTTTGTAAAAATTTAATCTGATGTTGAGAACTTTGGGAAAATTCCCAGTGGATCTACTTTGTATTAATGCCTTTAAATAATTTCCATATGAAAGTTATGTTCTAAATGCTCAACTCAACCAACTGTGACATGATAACCCAAAGTGTGGTCACCGCCCAACCATAAGTGGCCCACTTCGAGAAAAGTTTCATACTTTCTTCTTTTGGATGCGATTCTGAGGTTTATGAGAAAAGATTGAGACTTGGGAGTGAGAGAGAGAGAGAGAGAGAGAGGAAGACTTTGGATTTGGAGGGCGTTGATGGGTTGGTAGAAAATTATTTTAGACGTTTTAGAAGTATTTTAGTTTTCTCTTTAAGGTTAGTTTTGGTTGGTTGAGTTGACTCCAGCAGTAGATTTAACAACAATAAAAAA